CCGGGCTGACTACGGCGTGAACGCGGCTGTGGAGGCACCTCACCTCATGCCAAGCAGGAAATACTGCACAGGTGGTTACAGCTGGATGAGCCACCTGGGAGGAATCACTCCAAGGATCTAAGGCCTCGGGATAAGCGGCATAAGCACCGTGCTGGGCATCGCTCTGAGTGGACGGGGTGCACCTGGGCGTCACAGCGCGCACCTTGTCCCAGGGGAGGATTAAACAAATAAGTAAAAGAGTGTTTTGCAAGCCAGACGAGGCGGTTCACAGAAACTCGGGATAAGTCCAAACCAGACAAACCAGTTTAGAAAAGCCCCAAACCCTCTCCAACCAGGACATCCTGGGGTTGGCCCCGGGGGCAGAGGAGGAGATGCCTCTCCGGGATGTCACCGCTGGTGGTGCCACCGCGGAGCGGCCGCGGTCACCCACGGCAGTGACTGGCAGTATCTGTCATGTATTTATTACACATTAACCAGAAAGTTTACAAATCTTGGGGCCAGCAAGATCATTTTCACATTTTTCACATTCTTTCACATTTTCACGCCTGCCTGGAGAGCAAAGCAGTGGCCGGAGCCCAGAAAAACCTGACGCCCTTTGAAGCACGTCCAGCTGTGCTGTCCCCCCGCTGGCACCCGGGGCTCGCACCCCACCCGGGGTATCACAGCTCTGATCTCCTGCCCAAACCCACACTGATGGCCCTGTTCTCCTGCTGGAAGTCCCAGCAGGCATCCCCATCCTGGCTGCAAGGAGCAGGGAGATAAGGACACAGCGAGAGATGAGAAATTCAAACTGGATCGGGCACCCGCTGTTATCCAGGACCACTCCAGGGGCTCCCAGCATTGCCCCTTGTGCCAGCCAGGGTCAGGGAAACTGAGGCAGGAGAGCAGAAGTGATGGCTTAGGTCGTGCACTGACCCCACAGCTGCAAAGTGATGCAGGATGGGGACATGTCCCCATGGTGTGGCTCCCAGCACTGACCCTGACCCTGCTGACAATGCCCAACCACAGCCTGGAGGGGATGGATAGTGGGACAGACAGGCTTTCAAAGGGGAGAAAACAAAACAAAAAAAAATTCCATATTTTCTTTGCAAATTAAACTTGCACAGATCTTATGTTTGATTCAAGCCCAGAGAAGGGCAGCAGGTGCCTCTTGAGGGGTTTATCCATGGGGCAGAGGGTGCAGGAGCTCTGTGCCTGCCCCATTGGCCCTCCTCAGTCCTAACATGTTTACCAGCTAAGCTCCATTCCTGGTACAACCATCCTGACAATGCTCTGAACAGAGTCAGGACTTTATTCCAGGAAGAGGTTTTCTGCTGGAATAGTTTATACTAGTTCCCCTAACAGAATAAAGCGGCACCGACAAAAACATACTTCTGCAGATTTACCAGGATTTCTGCCAGCTCCTGGGACAGGAGAATGTTTTTCACCCATCTCGCTGCTGGGTCTTTCAGAGAAAACATTTCACATGCCGAGCAGGGCCGGGCAAACCCCGGCAGAATAAATGAACTGGAAGTCCCGGAGCCATCCGGCGGCGCAGCTCAGGGGCCCGCGCTCCCCTTCCCTCCACAGCCCGCCCTGCTCTCCAGCTCCCGCCTGATTTATGCCCACCGACAGGAGGCTTGCTCTGCTTCCCCGGGGATTACAGAGCTCTCCAACACCAGCCACGCACCCGGGTTGCAAAAGCCCCCGGGATGATGGAGGAGCACGTCCTGTCCCGGTGCCAGCGCTGCCAGGGATGGGATGGACCCACAAGGGATGTGCCGGGGCAAAGAACCCTGGCAAGACACAGCCGAGCCAGGCAGCAGGGAAATCCCTCCAAAGTGGGCAAACAACTCGGGGGGAAAAGGATTTTACAGCAGGGTTGGGAAGCCTTGAGCTGGAGAGTCTGCAGCCACCATCCCCATTCCCCCCACAGGGCCCCTCCAGTCCCCATCGCTCCCCGAAGCCTTATTGCTCTTGGAAGGCCCAGAGGAAAGGAATGAGAAGGTGAGGCAGAGACAGATGCAAAGGACTGACAAGAAATACCAAGGAGTAAATCGCTTTGGGTTTTTCATGCCAAAGATATTTGCATTCTTATTTCTCCCCTGGAGGCACAAACCTCTTTTGTTGTCCCATAACCACTTGCACTGTCGATGCCAGGAAGAATTTCAGCATGGGGAGGGTGACCCATTTCCAAGGAAAAGCCTGTGTAACGGGGATATCAGCTCTATGAGGCCAGAGGGGTGGTCACCCTTTATCTGTGCCCCTGAAAGGCAACATATGGATAAAGGGCAACCACCTCAGAGGAACCTCGGGTTTCCTTGGAATAAGGGGTTTTCCTGTGGGACAAGGTGATACAAGGTTCCCAAGGACACACAGGACACAGTCCCATGGCCGAGCATTTGGATTTCAGATGGATTTCAGCCTGTTTAGGACTGTTTAGGGACTGTGAGGAGTGAAGCTGCTGGAACATCCCTGTGAGCACCAGCACTTGCTGGAAGCAGTGGCTCTTGAACCAGCATTGCCACGAGAAACCAGCAGTGGTTTTCCCAAAGTTCCCAAACGAAAGCAGTAGCTAATTTGCCTCATTTTGGGAGATTTGCAGAATTTTGCCCCCACTGCCCTTCGCTGTGCCACCCCACCAGCCATCCCATTGTGACAAAAGAAGGGAAAAGCAGGAGAAGGGACTCCGGCCAAACCAAACACAGCAGCCCTTGCACTGAAGGAACATTTTAACCTGGATACTGTTTCCAGGAGTGTGAACCAGGATCACTGCGTTCCACATTAATCTGTGGTGAGGTCCCGGGCCAGCACAGTGGGTAGACCCCAGGAGGGCAGGTGAGGAGGGGTCTGCTCACTGTCCCAGTCTGAGTCCTCTGCTATTCCCTGCAGGCAAAAGTCACTGGCCCACAAGCCACAAGGAATGGTGCAAGGCTCCAAAACCCCTTGGCAGCATCCATCTGCTGCACTGGGATGCAGCAGCAGCAGCAGTGGCTGTGGCACAGCAAGCCCCCAGTGCTGTCAGGTTTTTTCCTCCTTTTTACTGATTTCAAGGAAATTTAGAGGACTTAAGCACTCATTGCTTTAGTTCCATCCCTCTTTGCCAAGCGCTGCTGGGCACGGGAAGAAACCCTGCCCTGTGCTCTCCATGCCAGGTGTTAGGCTGGATCTCAGGGAAAGGTTCTTCCCCCAGAGGGTGGTTGGGCACTGACCAGGCTCCCCAGGGCAGTGGGAACAGCCCCAAGGCTGCCAGAGCTCCAGGAGGGTTTGGACAACGCTCTCAGGGACAGGGTGGGATGGTTGGGGTGTCCTGTGCAGGGCCAGGGGTTGGATTCCATGATCCTTGTGAGTCCCTTGCAACTCAGGATATTCTATGATTAGGGACTGAACCTCTGCTCCCTTCCCCATCCATGTAGGTGGTGACTTGGTCTCTCCTGCTTCCAGTTTGACTCACAAATCCCTACTTTTTAAGCTCCCTACATAAGGGAGATGTTTTCCCCTAAAAATACAACTAAAGGAGATGGTTTCCCCTAAAAATGTAACTGAGGGAAATGTTTCTCCCTAAAAATGCAACTAAGGGAGATGCTTTCCCCTAAAAGCTCAACCAAGGGAGATGTTTTTCCCTAAAAAAAATGCAACTAAGGGAGATGCTTTCCCCTAAAAATTCGAGCAAGGGAGATGCTTTCCCCTAAAAGTACAGCCAAGGGAGATGTTTTCTCCTAAAAATGCAACAAACTGAGGTGTTTTCCCTTAAAAATGCAACTAAAGAACATGTTTTTCCCTAAAAATACAACAAAAGGAGATGGTTTCCTCTAAAAAATGCAATTAAAGGATATGTTTTCTCCTAAATGTGCAACTAACAGAGACACTTTCCCCCAAAAATTCAACCCAGGGAAATGTCTTTCCCTAAAAGTACAACTAAGGGAGATGTTTTCCTTTAAAAAATGCAACTAAAGAACATGTTTTTCCCTAAAAATGCAACTAAAGGAGATGGTTTCCTCTAAAAAAGTGCAATTAAAGGACATGTTTTCTCCTTAAAAAAAATGCAACTAACGGAGATGGTTTCCCCCTAAAAATTCAACACAGGGAGATGTTTTTCCCTAAAAATCCAACCAAGGCAGACCTTTTCCCCTAAAAACTCAACCCAGGGAGTACCTTTTCCCTAAAAATTCAACCAAGGCAGACCTTTTTCCCTAAAAATTCAACTCACGGAGATGCTTTCCCCTAAAAATTCAACCAAGGGTGATGTTTTCTCCTAAAAGTACAGCTAAGGGAGATGGTTTCCCCTAAAAAAATCAACCAAGGGAGATGTTCTCCCTCAAAAATGCACCTAAAGAACATGTTTTTCCCTAAAAATACAATTAAAGGTGACTGGTTTTCCCTAAAAATTCAACCAATGGAGATGCTTTCCCCTAAAAGTACAACTAAGGGAGACTGTTTCCCCTAAAAAATTCAACCCAGGGAGACGTTTTTCCTTAAAAACGCGACGAAGGGAAACGTTTTCCCTAAAAACACAGCTAAGGGACATGTTCCCTCTAAAAACGCAATGAAGGGAGACGTTTTCCCTAAAAACACAACTGAAGGACATGTTTCCCTAAAAACGCTGCATCCAAAGGGGACAAGGACACTCTGGCACCCCCAGGAGCACAGGGGAGGGGGGGTACTCCCAGATGCGCTCACCCCCACCCGCATCCCCATCCGCGGGGATGCTCCAGCGGCGCATCCCGGGGACCCGCTCGGGCACCTGCTCCCCGCGGGGCGCGGGTCCCTGCGGCAGGTGCGGGGCTGGCGAGGGGATCTCTCTCTGTTTCTCTCTCTCCCTCTCTTTCTCTCTCCCTCTCTGGGTCCCTGGAGGAGCGGGGGGGGAGCCGCTCCCGCCGCCCTGCACCGCCCCTCCCCGCACACGCGGTGCCGCCGCTGGGGCGAGCCGGGCCCGGCGCCGCGCACATGGGCGCTGCGGAGCCGCCGGCGGAGACCGGCTCCAGCCGGTATATAAGGGCTGGGAGCGAGCACCGAGCAGCAGCAGCAGCCGCCGCCGCGGGCAGCGGGAGCAGCAGCGGCCGGCGGGGCAGCGGGGGCCGCCTCCTCGCCGAGGGTCGCCCGCCCGCTCGCCCTCCCCGGGCCATGGGCAGCCCCTGACCCCGCCGCAGCACCGGGTGAGTGGGGCTCCCCTCCTTCCCGCGGGAGCGGGGTGGGGGGAGGGCTTTGTTTCTCTCTCTCTCTTTCTCCTTTTTTTTTTTTTATCCCCCCCTTTCTCATTTTTGGCCTCTTTTAAACATTATTCCCCTCTCCCCTCGCCCGCATCCCTGTATTTTTAGCCCGCGGCCCCGGCGATGCAGGAATTAGGGCTGAAATGTTGGGAAAGTGATGCAGGGAAGGGGGGGCCACGCCGGGCCCCTGCGCGCTCCGGCTTCTTAATTTTCAGGTTTTTTTCCCCCCTCATCGCCATTTCTTTTAATCTCTAAACGTACAAAGCACACGCCCCAGGTTTGCGGTTTCGGGGGTTGTTTTTTCTTCCTTTCCTTTCCTTTTTTTTTTTCCTCCTTTCTGTTCCTAAGCGTGCTTCCTCCTGAACCTACTCTCTCCCAATTCCTCGTGCGGTGACACAGAAATTCACGGCAGCCCCGTCCCCCTTCTCGGGGGTCTCCGGGCACTTCCCACAAAACTTCGGGCCGCCGCCGGGGGTCCCGCCCGTGCCCCTCGCCCCGGCGCGGGGCTGCAGCAGAGCAGCACCGCAGGGATGCAGGAGCCCACGCCTCGCTGCATCCCTGGGAGAAAGGATCCCGAGGGAGCCGCGCACCCGCCATGCAGCACCGCACGGGGGGTCTGCGAGCTGCGGGGACCCCCCTGCCCCGCTCAGGGACCCCCTCGCGTGGGATCCCACCCCCGTCCAGCTCCCGGGGGGCGCCGGTGTCTCGCACTCGCCTGGTCCGCCGAGAGAAGTTGCCCGGGGGTGGGGAGGGGGTGGCTGGGACGGCGTGGCCGGAGCCGCTCGGGCTCCGTGCGCCGAGAACGCGGTGCCGAGGAGATCTGAGCAGAAAATGGAGGAGGGAAATGCCTGGTGGCTGCCGGGGCCGGCGGCGCGGGGGGAGAACGCGCAAAGAGCCGCCGGGTCCGCGCGGTGCCCGGGGCAGCCCCCGGGCGGGACCCCTGCGGCCACCCCTCGGTCCCTGCCCGGGGGCGGCTGCTCGGAGCCAGCGCTGGGGCGTGACCCCGGCACTGCCGTGTCTCCCCCACGCAGGTGACACGGTGACACTGGCACTCCCCGCACGGGTGTGGCAGTGACCCCGGCACGGTGACCCCGGCACGGTGACCGTGGCACTGTCCCCCGCCCTGTGCAGGTGTAGCAGTGACCCCAGGACTGTGACCCTGGCGCTGTCCCCCCCCCCATGCAGGCATGGCACTGACCCTGGCACTGTCCCCCTGCAGAGTTATGGCAGCGCTGGAGTTCCACAAGGAGCTCCGTGTGGGACAAAAGCTGCCCCTGCACACCCACAGCCCCTGATGACACGGAGAAGGGCTGAAGAGACCCCACTGTCATATGGGGCGATCCCCTCCAGCCCCCCAGTGCCCTGGGGGCTGTAAGCGGCCCCAAGGGCTGCAGGGGAGCTGGTGGCAGCAGGGGGTTGTCCCCACCCCCTGTTTTGAGGTTTGGGCAGCCCTGAGCTGCCACTTTGGGGGCAGACAAGCTCCCCAGGAGTTCCTGTCATCCTGGAGCCAGCGGCTGCGGGATTCTGGACACCACAGCATGTGACAGTGGGTTCTGTCACCGACTGATCCTGCGGCAAATGGGTGTCACTGAGGTGTCACCGGGCAGGCAGGGGGTGCAGCGGGGAGGACGGGTGCCCCGGGGGGGTTCCTGCAGCTCCACCAGCCCACACTGGGTTCTGCGGTGGATCTTTCACGAACTGCACCCACCCACCCCCTCACACCGACAGACAGATGACAACTCCCGGGCTTGGCTGCTGGGAACAGCCTGCCCGGGTGCTGAGCTGAGAGTTTCTGGTCCTGGGCTCGCAGGGCACCATCAGGGAGGAGCCCGTGGGGTGACAGAGGCAGAAATATCAGCCCAGCTCCTCTGTTTAATCCCTCGGCAGCACAGGGACTGGCTCATGGTGCCTTCGGGAACGCTGCAGATCCTAGACTGTGCCTCTTTCAGCAAAATTCAGCTTCAACTCATGCCTGGCTCCCTGTCCCCTCTTCTCCAGGTCCAAAATGACGGTCAAAGCTGTAAAAATGCCGTGCACCTCTGCAAACGTTTATACTAAAGTGCCTGACGGAGGATGGGGCTGGACAGTTGCTTTTGCATTCTTTGTTGTGGAAGCCCTCACATACGGCATCATAAAATCATTTGGAGTCTTCTTCAATGACCTGATGGAAAGCTTTGACGAAACCAACAGCAGGATATCATGGATAATATCCATATGTGTGTTTGTGCAGACCTTCACAGGTAAGAGGAGCAGGTGCAAGGGGCAGCCGTACTGCTGACTCAGCAAACAAGGGCCTGGTACCTGTGACTTTCGTGCCTCTAATGGCTCCACTATAAATTAAATAACAGCCATAAAGCTCAGAGGCTGCCATGAAATGCTAAGAAATGTCTGTCTCACCCTTTGAGCCCTGACTCATGTCCTTGCGTGGTGCAGGGACATGGTCCATGTCGCTGGCCTTGGCCCGGCTGTTCAGGTCTCGCAGGCAAAAACCAGAGTTTTGAAACCAAAGTCTGCAGTGAAAAGGATTAGAAGTAGCTGGAGCCTTGCTGAAATCCGCTGGTGTCTGGGGATGTGGCTGCAGGTTTGTCCCAGGCTCCCACGCACTCATCTTTAAGTCTCTTGTGATGATTTTTTTAGCACGTCCTAAGTGCCACAAGAGCTGTGCGGCGCTCCAAGGATGGCCCCGGGGTGACACGGTGCTGTGCGGGGAGGTGGCACAACAGGGGGACCTGGGCAGGAGTACGAGAAGAGCCTCTGGAGGAGACGTGGCTGGTGAAGCTGCTGCGTTGGGTGTTGACCGGGGCTCTCTCCCTCCCCAGCTCCTCTGTCGACGGTGCTCAGCAACCGCTTCGGTCACCGCTTGGTGGTGATGGCCGGGGGGCTGCTCATCAGCACCGGGATGGTCATCGCCGCCTTCGCCCGCTCTGTCGTGGACATGTATGTCACCATCGGCATCATCTCCGGTGAGTCATCCTCTGCTGTTACCTGTCCAACGCTCCCCGTGCTCTCCCGCAGCTTCCCGCAAACCCACGGGGGTTTTACCCCCCGTGACAGGGGGATTGCTTAACGCTGCTGCCCCTCCGGAGCTGACCTCGCCCTCCTGGGAGGGGGGTTAAGCTGGGCTCTGGGCTTGGCTTTCTACCCTCTCACCCTGGGGACCACCCTGGGTCGTGGTCCTGTGCTCGTGCAGCCGTACTGGATGCTTCTCACGGACTGGGATCGCTGGGGAGACCAAACTGCTCGTGGGGTCAGATCCTCTTAACCTTTGCCTCTGTCTCTTTTTTTTCTTTTCCTGATACTTCTCCCCCTCTCCAGCCTGGTCTGGATGTCCTGCTCCCATCTGTGTCCAGGAGCTTGCCTTGCTTAGGGGAGCAGTTGCTACAGGCTCAAACTCTTTAGGCACATGAGGTCCTGAAAGTGGACCCCCCTGGCTGCTTTGTAGCAGAAGGCGTTATCTGGCAGGTTTGGGAGGCTGGGTCTCTTGGGTTTTTACTTTCCTCTTTTCTTTTTCTTTCCCCCCCTCTCCAATTCACAAAAAAATAACATTCTGGTTTCCCCAATGATTTTCTTCCAGGGTGACTTGCTGAGTTGGCCGAAATGATACTGTGTAATCACCACCGGGAAAGCCGACTTAAGGTGTTCTTGCATCGGTGTTTAACCCTCCTTTACTTGTTGTTATGGCAATTTTTGGCATTTATTCACAGGCCTTGGATACTGCCTCACCTTCCTCCCGACTGTCACCATTTTATCACAGTATTTTGACAAAAGGCGCTCGCTGGTCACAGCAGTGGCATCTACAGGGGAATGTTTCGCCGTCTTCTCCTTCGCACCAGGTACAGTCCCCACATGCTGGGAGTTCACATGTGTGTGCCTAAAGCTCAGCACTGCTCCCCTCTCCTTTTCCCAAGCAAATGGGAGCCAGAGGGGACCAAGGGAGCTGGTGCCCGGGGACCTGCTAAAGCCCACAGGTTGTTGCTCGTGTGCCCATGGCACTCGTGCCCTGCAGGCAGGGTGATAAATAGTCCCAGAGCCGGGTCTAACGCTGCCCGGGCCGTCCCCAGCGGGATCTGCCAGCACAGGACATGCCTGGCTGATACACAGCCCGATGGGCTCCCTATATAGATCTGGCAGGCTAAAAATAAGACAGAGAAACTTCAGCTATTTAAAACACACACAGTGCACACATAACTGCTCCTAAAGGTTAGTGGGCTTGTGCTTAGCACGGGCTGCCGAGCTGCTCCAGCCTTTTGGGGGCCTGTCCCCGGGCAGCACGTCCCTGTCCTTGGCTGCTCAGGTGATCCTGCTGTGCATGTGTGCTTTCAGCTAATCCCCAGTGCAAAGCTGCTTTGGTTGCACATGAAGGCTGGTAATTCAGCAGTGACATGCACCTTTGAGTAGGGCTAAGGGACTTCCTCTGGTGGCTGGTTTCAGGGTGGGGTCAGCCGAGAGAGGAAACTCGAGTGTTGAGTTTGTGCTCCTTCACTAAAAATAACACCCCCTTCATCCCCAAATTCAGAAGGGGCTGCCTAGAGGGTGGCTTCTGCTAGAGAGGTGGTGAACACAGCTTCTAGCTTTTGTCTGCCGCAGCTGAGGGGAGGAAAGTGGGTGCCAGACCCCTGAGCAGGAGGGAGCCAAGGTGCCTGGAACCCTCCAGTGGTAAAACTCGAGTGACTTCCCCGGCTGTAAATTCAACTCTCTGGTGTAACTGCAGGCTTTCCTAGTTACAATTTCTTCTTCCTCTTGCTCTCTCCCCTCAGCAATCACAGCTCTGAAGGAGCAGATTGGCTGGAGATACAGCATGCTTTCTGTCGGGGTGCTGCAGCTTGGCATCACCGTCTGTGGATCGCTGCTGCGACCCATCATCATCAAAGAGCAAGAAGAAGTGAAAGCACAGCCTCCAGAAGAGTCCACCGAGACAAAGTACATGCTTGAAAACGAGCAAACATGCACCTCAATAGAGTCCATAGACTCAGGAGTCGATATAACTACCTCACCCAGCAACGTGCCTGGAAAAACCAAAGCAGAGCCGAAAAGTGAAGAACCAAAGCAACACGGACAGATTCCCGTTGAAAATAACAGCACCCCTCCAGAACCAAAAACCAAACTACTGGACTTCTCTGTGATGAGAGACTATAGCTTTATCTGTTATGCATTCTTTGGCCTGTTTGCAACCCTGGGCTTCTTCGCTCCCTCCCTCTACATCATCCCCCTGAGTCTCAGCCTGGGCATCGGCAAGGACCACTCCGCGTACATCCTGTCGGCCATGGCCATCGCCGAGGTCTTCGGGAGGATTTTTGCTGGCTGGGTCCTCAACAAGAAGCCCATCCGCAAGATCTACATCGAACTCATCTGTGTCATCCTGCTGTCCGTAGCGTTGTTTGCCTTCCCTTTTGCCTCCGAGTTCTGGGGCTTGATGACATGTAGCATTTATTTTGGGTTCATGCTCGGCACGGTGGCGGGCACACATATTCCCCTCCTGGCAGAAGATGATGTGGTTGGCATTGAAAAGATGTCTTCTGCAGCTGGAGTCTACGTCTTCATTCAAAGCTTAGCTGGGTTGGCTGGACCACCCATTGCAGGTAACTCTCAAACTTTGACCTTAATTTGCTTTTTGAAATGTTTGACAGCTGTTGGTGCTGATCTCTGCCTAGAAAGGGTTCTGGCAGCGCTAATCACAGCACTATCCTAAGAGCCCTGCAACTAGTATTAGGAGACTCTGGGAGCCAGAAGACTGCTGCAATGCAGCTCTGCAGAGTCCCACGGATGAGGCAGTCTCCACTGAGGAACCTCAGAGGGAAGGGAAATACTGCAGTGCTACCCTGATCCTGTTAGAAACCCAAACCTGGCATCACTTCAGGCTCTAGCGACCAGCAGAGGCGAATCCCTCTTGCTGTGCCTGTGTCTGTGCCACACACTGCAGAGAGGGGAAGTCTCTATCAGAACAAACAGATGCTTGATGCATCTCGGGCTTAGAGTCCCTGCGGTGCCCAGAGGCTTCTGACTTGCCTGAAGATGACACCACGTACCCCTGAACACAGTGGGTTCACTTTTTTAAAGTGGCATCTGTTTATCATTGAGCTCTGCCTGCAGATGAAGTGATGCAGAGGCACCAGGATTAAAAATCCGCAGGAAGGATGGCTGGGCAGGGGAGAGGGGGAGCTGACCGGGTCTAACTGCTGTGATTGTTTTTTGTAGGTGTCTTAGTGGATACGACAAAGAACTACAGCTCAGCCTTCTACTCCTGTGCTGCTGGCATGGTCCTGGGGGCCGTGTTTCTGGCCCTGGTGAGGCCGTGCAAGACTGGGCTGTGCCGCCGCCACCGCCATCACCAGCAGCAGCAGCAGCAGCAGCAGCAGGAGGAGGAGGAGAGCCCACCAGGGCCCCCACCAGAATTACCAGATGACTTTATAGACATGGATATTGGAAAAGCGGAAAATTCAGGAAAAGGCTCTGACAGCGTGGTATAGAAAACAAAAACAAACCCCGTTCCTTTTCTCCATCTAACGTACTCGGCGTAAGGCTGGGGAAAATGTCAGCTCTGCTCCACGTTTTAAAACTACATTCTAAAGGGAATGTGAAATTTTAAATGTGAACAGTTGCTACCAACAACTTTTTTTTTTTTTTCTAAAATATTAGACAGAACTTTTTTAACCAACAATGGAAAGCTCCATAGAAAATACGGATAGCCACGTAAAAATAACTCCTGTCTAGCATGAAGATGTGATGCACACTCTTGCTTTCCTGATAACAAGCATAGGTAAAGGTTCAACTGATCCCATAAATACTGACAACAGCAACAGCAGAAGCAGCTCAGCCTCTGACTGTCACCCATCCCCTACCACAAATTCCACACAGACAAGAAACCGATGATACGAACTGGAGACAAGCATTTCATACACCACCAGTAGCCAACTGAATCTTCTTCTGGAGGGATACAGACTCATGTTTTAGCTTTGAGGAGGAGGCTAGGCTAGATAGCTGACACTTAGAAACCATTGCTAATGATCTTAACTTGAATGTCACAAATGCTGGGAAATCAAAGGCTCCGTGTGTCTTTATGGCCAGTTTTTACTGCACGTATTTTCCTGAGATCATTTTTCTTCTCCTGATTGGGACCCCTAGAACTGTTTTCTATTGATAGTCAGATCTGATGTACTGTTTCTAATTTAACTAGTATTTATTAATTTATTCTGAGATTGTTAAAGGAGGTTAGCTTAAATAACTGGAGAGGAAAAATGATCTTCTGCATAACGGAAAGCTGTCTTTACATCATTCTCTTCAATGCCTATCTTGTATTGCTTGTGAAATTGTTGGGGAAATTACTCTTACAGCATAAAGTGTAGCTGTTTTTAATAGGTAAGTCTTAAGTAACCCAGTTATTTAAAAAGGAAAAAAAAATAATAAACTGCAGATCCAGCATCTCTTTCCACGGAAAAAAGGCTCAGCAGGTGCCAATGGACGTGGCACCACTGCAGAACCAGCCCACCCTGCAGGGAGGATTTGGCCCAGCGTGTCTTAATGTACCCAAAACCTTCGCTCACAGGTGCACCAGGAAACCTCTGCCTCATCCCCGATGGAATGTGGGACCCCCCACGTCACTCAGCCCCTCGCTCCCCACGTCTGTGGGGTCACGGGGTGGCTGGGCCGAGCTGCACCCCCTTCCCTAGCTCTCCCTGCTCCCCCAAAGGCAGCAAGAGGCTTTTTGGTTTGTTTTTTTTTGCTGCTGAGATCAGTGAGAAGCGAAGTGGAGCCTGTGCACCTCGGTGGCGCGAAGGGAGCGACAAAAGACAAGGGACGAGCTGTTCATTTTTAGTCTTAACAGGAGAGATTCCTGCTCACGGTGACACGAGCTTGCTTACCCCACCTATATGCATCTTCTCGCCTCTAGGCAACTCAGGGGGACAAATCAAACAAGTCTGTTTCGGTTTGGAAGGAAACCCAAACCACCATTTCTGTGTATTTCGAGTGGAAGTGGCATCATCCATTAACTGCTACGCTGACCTGTCTGTGTTTTACCAGCCATAAGAAATGTGGGACAATCTGTGTAAAAAAAAAGAAAAAAAAAAAAAAGGAGAACAACCTCTTTTTGGGAAGGTGCTTGATTTGTTTTTTTTCTGTCTTAGATGTCCATAAAAAAAAAAAAAAAAAAAAAAAAAAAGGAAAAAAAAAAAAAAAAAAAAAAAAAAAGAGAAGAGAAACAGGCACTCTTGCAAGTGGCTGGAGCAATTCATCCTCACTGCCCGAGACCCGCGGTCTCGCGTCCTTCCTCTGCCTCAGCACTTTATCACGGCCAGCAGAACCTCGCTGCGTTGCACCCAGGACTGGAAGACCCCCTTACAGAGAACTAAGAGTCGCGTGAAAAAATCAGTGATTAACGAACAAGTAACCATGTCGCATTAAAAGATGTGCTTTTTATTTATTGTTTTAATTTATGATACTTCAAGCGTTTTGGTAAACGTTCTGTAGCCTGTAATTGTAAGGTTATTGAAGTCTTTGTGACACGAGACCTCACTACAGCACTTTGCTATTCCAACTGCTTGGAAGTGGAAAAAAAGGCCTCCAGGTTTTGCGTGTGTGTGGAAGCTCCCTGTTCTGCAGATTTGCGAGGTTCTACTGTAACTTAGGTTTGGTTTTTTTGTTTTGTTTTTTTACAACATTTTCCAATACAGATCAAATAATATGTATGTCACTGACCTCACAGTCCATTTCTGTTCCTGTCTGTGTAGCAGCACGAGCAGGGGAGCGAGTGATGAGTATGTGTGTGTGCGGGCGCAGCAGACCCACAAGCAGGATTTACTGATTTGTTTGTAACGTACCCAGTGGACTCTGGAAATACTCTAAACACTGAGACTTGCAATAAACTTTTTCTTTTTTTTGGTTTTTTTTTCCCCTTTCCTTCTTTTTTTTTTTTTTTTAATAATAAACACGGTGAAGAAACTTTCCTCCTCTCCCTCTTCTCCATCCCTGGGGTGTCCCAAAGCCTTCTCCCTGCGGGTTTGTTGCGGGATCTAACCCGTTGCATCCCCTCCCAAAGTGCTCTCCCAGCGTGGCTGTCACAATGCCACTTCTCCAGCCTGAAGTGGCTGTGCTTTCCCTGCACATTGGGCAATCCGAGTTCTTTAAATGAGCTGCCTGGAAGCCGTGGATTAGCGCTGACCTCAAGGGTGCTCTTGTAAACTCTTACCCGGGGAGCCCTGATTAGAGGGAGCCTTTTCTTCTCCTGAGTGGTGCCTGAATGGGTGGCACTTAGGAACATTACCCTCGTGCCTTCAAGAAGCACGCAATCATGTAATTATTTTATCATCTCTGAATTGCTGAATACTTTCCCCATGCCGGGCTAAGCAACTTGTGTATCAGAAAATCTACTTAAAAAAGAAAAAAAAAAAGCCACTAAATAGCAGAACAGTCGCACTAAGGAGCAATTTTCTCTCCCTCAAACCTAATTTCTTTTTACGCCAGAGAGAGACGCCCTTCCCCGCTTACCCTGCGACTCCCAACATCACCAAACCCTCCAAGGAGTAACTGCCACATCCCAAATATCACTGCATGCATTAGATTTGCAAATCAACTACTTGCTGAAGGAATCATCACAGCCGCTGATGTGTGTTAAGTACAATCTGTTTTCGTTCTGGTTGCAAAAGTCCTAGAACAGAGGTGATCCGTGCATGCAAGCAGGGCAGACTCGAGCACAAACACCAAAGTCTCGGGAAGCTAATCTGTCCAAATTTGACTCTGACTCAACTGCAGCAGTGAACAAACATTATTTGCAACAGTTTCCTCAAAAACAACCCCCCTCAAAAAAGGCGTTACAAAGGCTGCACACAGTTCACATAAATAAAAGCAACATTTAACTGCAGCACTATCAGATGTCTCTGCCTGCACAGAAAGATTTTAAGAGTCGTTTTTCCCACCTGGTTTACATTAATTGCCCGTGACCTTCTCTGTTATCCTGGTACAAAGGCATTAAGGCCAGAACAAAATAGGATAAGAACATATTTATTCAGTAGCACTGCATGTCTACTTTGTACCATGGTAAATAAGAGGAGAATGTGAGACAGGACTTGCTTCAGCAGTCCTTGCTATTCCTCTCCAAAAGGGTTGTGTAAACTCTTGCAGTCAATGAGGCCGGTGCCAGCCAAATGTAAATAGAGGAAATTACACAAGGTCAGCTTGGGGGAGGCCAGAAACCCTCAGACCATAGGTATCTGGCCTTTCTAAAGCAGAAAGGAAGCTGGAAAGTGGGGGGTTGTTTGTTGTTTTGGGGTCTTTAAAAAAAAAACAAACCAAAACAAAAAAAACAAACCCCCCAAAAAACAACCAAAAGACAAAACCATTTTTTCCACTTGAAATTAAAAGGAAGGGGAGCCTCTTGTTCTTTTTGCACTTATTTTAGCTAAGTTGACACCGGGTTCTTAAGGGGACAAATGAATCTTTTAAATATAGCTCAACTGGTTCTGGAAAGAAAGCAAAGTAGGTGCTTACAAAACAGCCTGAATGTTATAACGCGTCCCTTCAGATGTTACTTGTTACCATCTGAGATCATCGTGTTCCAGCTGCCTGTAGTAAACATGACCTGAATTCTCACAGTGATGCAAGCCCAGCAGCAGCCACCCCGTCCTTCCTTCCTCTTCAAAACTCATCCTGAAGATGCTTCACAGGTTGGGTTTAGGAAAACCTTTGGGTTTAGGGAAACGTCCCTTTAACTTCTGGCTTGGTTTGAGGGCTGGGGGAGCGAGTGCTGCTGCCCAGAGGGACTGTTTTATACGTGATGTCCACACCAAAAGACAGGACCCTTCAGGAAGAAATTCAGGAAGAATTTCTTCATGGAAAGGGTGGTCAGGCATTGGAAGGGGCTGCCCAGGGAGGTGGGGTAGTCACCATCCCTGGAGGTGTCCAAGCAATGACTGACTGGACGTGGCACTCAGTGCCCTGGTTTAATTGACACGGTGGTGGTTGGTCAAAGACTTGATGATCTTGGAGGTCTTTTCCAACCCTGGTGATTGTATTCTATGATTCCACGACCCCTGGTTCCCACTGGGACCCTGCACCAGACACACACAGGAAAGGCTCCTGGGCATTCCAAGCTGCTGTGGGTTCCCAAAGCCGGTTTGCAGCCGTGATGCCCTCGTGCTTCCCGCCGATCCAGGCCTCCTCTGGGCATCCTGGCAGCAAACCACACAGTTTCCCCCTCCCCAGCTTCATTCCCATGGACTTCTCCTTGCAGGATCTGCAAATCTGTGGCCGCAGCAGCATAAAGCTCACTCTGCAAACTGCAGTAAGTCATCTAATAAATCAAATGCGATCCCCCCCCCCCTCCCTTCCTACTGCAGTCGACGAGCTCCAGTTACAACAATTTGTGGTAAAATATTACTCACCAGCACTTTGGCCCGTGCGAGGCAGCTCTGCCTCGGTACAGACAGCCCCTAAATCACAGCTTTGTCACAGAAGCCACAAGCATAACCAAAAGACTTATTACACGCAGACACTCCGAGGAGAAGGCCAAGGAGACAATAGTTCCCTTCGGTTCCTTTTGTCAGAGCTTTCATTAATGTCATGAACGTCTTTTTCTGCTTTGTCCACTGCTGGGTGCTTGCCACGCTCAGCCTGGCACAGGAGCAGCCCAAACCATCCCCAAGGAGCCTGAGAGATGGCAAACCAGGGTGCTGAGCATCACCCTGTGTTCCTGCTCTCCCAGCAGGGCTGGTACCCCCAGTCCTGCCCCTCTGCTCTCCTGATTCCTTTTAATCTCCACCAGTTTGCCCATGTGCTACGGGAAGTTATGAAAATTAGGCATTTTTAGCACTTCAAGGCTTTTGCCTTTTGCTGTGATGTGGCTGATAGTTTGGTTTTTTTTTCACATGTTGCAAAATGAGACAAAGACCCAAAATCACCAGTGAAGAGCAAAGGCCATTTTTGTGCTTGTACCTGGGGTTGGAGGATGGCAGGAGAGAGGCACAGGGGGGGCACAGGGCAGCACCAGCACTGCCAGGGGGGCTTTCCATTCCCAATGCTGCCCCATGCACAGTAACAGGGGGATGATCCTGCCTACACTGAGCACCCTCCTAAAATCCTGCTGAGCACCCACCCAACCACCACCCTGGGATTGAGGGAACAGGGTCAGCTCCTCTCACCCTGTCCTAAGCCCCTCACTCCACCTCCCTGCCATGATGAGAAGGAGGGTTTCCCTCAGTGGGTATAAACTGCAAATTAATGACTAAATAACGCAGTGACAGATGAAGACACGTGAAAAGGTCCAATTCTGACACCACCACTCACACAAACCTGCCACTGGAGCCTTTTATCTGCTCCAGGCACAGCCCTTGGCCAAACCCTTCCCCTCACAGGTCCTGAATCTCCCTTCCTTTGCCAGCAGTGACCACCCCATGGCCGTGTGTCCCAGCCCTGGCAGTGGGAGCACAGCGGTGACTTGAGGACACCACGACACACGAGGCCACTCCTGCTCCAGATGCTGCATCCACAGGCAGGAGCTGGCACAGCAACTGCTATCCTTCCACATTCCCACATTGCATCCTCCTGGAGAACCAGGAGTGAAAGCAGGTTCTGGTTTGCACAGAGAGGAGGGAGGAGCAGAGCAAGGTGCCCTCCACATCCTGGCACCAGAAGCCAGGCTCGCTGCGGGATGGGATGAATCCCTGTGGATGCAGGACAGGATGTTCCTCTGCTGCTCCTCCGAAAGCAGCACTTTTGGCACAACGCTGCCTTTGCCAAACGCTCCAATGTGCACACCAGGAAAATGAAAACTGGAAACGTGGAGCAACAGCTTGGAGCTGAACCCCAGAAAAGCCGGCTCCTTCCCACGCACTGCCTGCCCTGAAATCACTCCCTTCCCCTCCTCCTGCTGCAGCCCCAGGGCCCTGGTGTGAGCCCCGGGTTCACTGTACCCAAAACCAGCCCCAAACACCCCGTGGCAGTATCTCCCTCACGCACATCCCCGAGCTGCAGCCACAACACTTATCAGCCCCGGCCAGGCACAGCCCTGCCCTGTGCCAGGGCACCCCAGGGCTATCAAGGGCCACAGACCTCCTGCCCCACCACGGGGCACCCAGGGGATGTTGGGGGCCCCGGTGGACTGGGCTCCTGCCAACTGGTCCCACCATCATCCCCCATGGGTGAGAGTGGGGACACAGGGAATGTCCCACCCCACCCACTCAGTGCCACCCGAGGGATCTGATCCCAGCCTCCAGTGGGCCCTGGCACAGCACTCAGGCAGCCCTTCCCTGCTGCTCACAAACACAACCCTTTTTTGCTCAACAGCAGCTGCTCATAACCCAGCGAGGGGCTTTGCTCTGCCCACACAGAAACCCCCCCAAAATACCCCAACCACACTTTCAGAAACACTCATGTCCACAGAGAACTGCTGGCCCTGCACAGTTCCCCCTCCTCAGTCACTCAGTAATTCCCTATCCAGAAAAAATACACATTAAACAAGCTGTACCTTGGAAGGAGTCTGCAGGCACAGGAATTTCTCTGTTTCTTCTCCTCCTGCCTCGTTGGTGAGGGGTCAGAGCCCTTCACAGCTTTGTCCAATATCACAATCACAAAGGAACCAGCAGGTGAACCCACTGCCCCATCAAGCACTCACAGCAAACCCTGGTGCAAACAATCACCCAAACTGTTAAACACAAAACCACCTTCGAGCTTCAGTTCATTGAGTGTTTTCATCGAGACAACCCCGGGTCTGCACCGGCAGTGTCACATCTCAAAGGTTTTTATTCAGCCTCCTTTGCGCAGCTTTCAGTGAGTCAAGAATTTCAACCTTCAAGGACAAGGCACTGACCCTGCAGCCTGACCCACCTGTGGAGTTCTCCTTTGTTAAAAAAGCACTTTCAGCACAGCAGAGAGGCCAAACTGGTCG